CCCACCTTGCAGCCCTCGCAGGTGATCGCTCCAAAATGAAAACCAGAGGACTGAGCGCCACAGACACGGCAGGGAATTATAGAAATGTCATTCGCCGGACAGACTGCTGCACCTGGGCGGGGGTAAAATTCAATGGATTAAAAAACCAGGATGAGAGACTCCGAGGTAAAAAAAAAGGGAGACCAAAGCAAAAAAAGTCAGACAGTTCTTAGGAATTGCTTCCAGGAGGAAACAATAACTGGAGGAACAGCTTCTGAGAGATAAATCATATATGGACCCCGGGCATTTGTAAATTGTTGTGAAGTCGGACGTCCTTTACTTACGACTTGAAGACGCTCGCAGATGGCAGATGCCAGCACTCGAGGGTATTAGTCAACAGATAACAGAAGGCCTTTCACGACAGACAATAGCCACCCTGCCAAAAAATACTGGTGCACTTTGGAAATACAGCCGTCTAATTGTAGGGAGGTCGACATATGAAGACGCCAAATTCGGAAGGCGTGCTCACACCACCCTTCTTTTTAATTTTATAGGCTTCAATGGAAAATTGACAAACAAGATTTTTTCGCATTTTATGTCATTATTAAGCAAAGTTATCTGAATGAGAACCAGAAATTGTCCATTTAATCTAATAAAAATGGGGTCAATGCTACTAGGCCTCTTCGTGTTATCTAAGGAACATTGATATTCATAAATTGTGTTGAGTATAGGTTTTGTCGGCATATAGTGGCCTTACAAGCCTTCCTAAAGACAACATTTTTCCAAATATGTAAATTTTCCGACTTTCTGTAGTATTCAAGCAAATAAATTTCTGACATCACTTCTGCAGATCACAACATGTTCGTTCACTTGTTCTAAGAATTACAGGTAATTCGTGGCTCTATGTCGAGGCACTTGCTTTTAGAAGCCTGTAGATTGGCCTTGTAATTCAAAAAAATGATTACTAATCAAACATTTCAGCCAGTGGATGTAGGCACAAGATTGCCATTGTAGCCGATTCCTATAAAAAATTAAAGTCAATGAATGTGTGGTCGCGACGTCCGCCAGGTCGTGTGGCTTCCTCGTCTCCCAGTAGCTGTTCCTACATCACCACCACCATTGTGCCAGAGTTCAAGTGCGCCGGCCGTCACATTACCGATTTTTTTGCGGCTGCGTTGGTTGCACGGTCCAATCAATGTGTTATCGACGGATGCGCTCACCCGATTCGGCCCCTGCATTGGCGGTATGATAACCCGTAGAATAGCGCTGCAGTCGAAAATAAGGGATGCAATTGCAATCCGGACTGGGCAAGAGCGCAGGCGGACAGAACTGGAGTGCTTACGCGCGTGGACATGACGGGATGGTCCTCCCGCCCGTATAGAACTCCC